AAAGCAAAGAAACTGAAAGCAGGAAGTAAGTCTGCATTGTTACGATGCACTTCTCCTTTTGCACAATTCAAACAAGAGCTCAGTCTGCTTACAGTGTAAACAAGGCAGGAGAACCATGCCCTTTGTAAGACCCTGTAAGCCTCATTCATAGGGTTTTGGTAATGTTTGCACCCTGACCTATTCAGTGTGTAGAAACCAGACTCTCACTACCACCAGGAGGAAGTTACAAAAATCGCTTCCATGGAAGAATGTCTTTTCCTGAGGAGTTCTGGAAAAGCGCATGGGGAGATTTGTTAGCAATTGTTCAAATTGTGCTAACAAGGTTTCAGCATCCCTGACACAGTATCCCAGTGCATAGGAGTTGAGATAGCCCTGCCACCAGGGAAATGCTGCTGCTGCAGTGAGGGTCATGGCAATGTCTTCTGTAGCCTTCCTTCTTCTTCAAGCAGTCAGGGCAGATGTGCTCCATAGTGCTGGAGGAGGGGAGCACACAGATTCTGTGTTAAACTGCTTAGAGGTCTTCTGTTGAGTGATATATAAATCTTGTTGAATAAAACAAAGGGTTGTTGTGTTGTTGTTGTTTTTTAAAAAGAACATTAACTAAATGGCAGGGTGTTACTCCTGGGAAAGGTAGCTTTCCTGGTATTGATCCATATTAATTAATTTTGGCATAATGCAAGTCCAGGCCCGCCTACCAAGCTGACTAACTTCTTAAGACATTCATTGACAGCTTGAAGCAATCAGAGACAGGAAATGGGCTGTCCCATTGGTTTGGAAAGAGAAGGGCATTTCCAAATGTTGACACAGTCTTCCTCATTTTTACAAACCTTAGAAGTCCCATAGCTGATTCACAGATTCCCAAGTTCCTGATTTACATGTTTCGCTGCATGATTGCAATTTCATCCCAAGCACAAATTCATGTGATTGCCATTTGCCACCAAACACCAGCCTAGCTGCCTAAAGCTTGATCGTGGTGTTCTTCTCCCTCTCTCTCTCTCTCTCTCTCTCTCTCTCTCTCTCTGCATCTGGCGCGGTGTTCTTCTCCCTCTCTCTCTCTCTCTCTCTCTCCCTCTCTCTCTCTCTCTCTCTCTCTGCATCTGGCGCTTCTCTAAAAGAGGAAAGCAATGAGTAATGTGTCTGCTAGGAACAAAAGTTCCCAGGAAAAGTGAAGCATGCAGATGTTGCATTGCCTGAAGGTGCAAAAAGCAATTTACTTAGCATCCATAGTGCTCAAAACTGGTTCTTCAAGTCCAGATGCAAAGAATGCAAATGAGAGAGAGAGAGAGAGAGAGGGAGAGAAGAGAAGAGAAGAGAAGGGAAGAGAAGGGAAGAGAAGAGAATTGGGGCAATGTGGAATATGCTGAAGGAGGGTTACAGACCCACATCATTGCTGCTTTTGTTGCTCTCATTGCAAAACTGGTTTGTTTGGTTTATGTCAAATCAGTGGTCTGTGCTTAGTCACATAGTAAAGTAAAGCTGCATCACACACTATAGTTCCTGATAAGGCAGGGACAAGGAACCTGGCATCCTCTAGCTGGGCTGGACTACAACTCCCACCATCCTTTACCATAGACCACAGTGACTGGGGCTGATGGAAGCTGGGGTTCAACAACATCTGGAGGGCTTCAGGTACCCCACTCCAGTTGTAGGAAGATGACCTTGGATGGTTCAGATTCTTGGTTTTGTAGGACGCCGCTCTTTTGCTGAGTTTACACTGCTCTGTTCCATTTGGAACAATTTTGTGTTTTTGAAATTGTAATGATTTTATCTGTTTTTATAATTGCATTTTCTACTGCTGTAGCTTGCCTTGGGACCTTGTGGTGAAGGATGAGTAAGGTATCTTATCAGTAAATAAATAGTCCTATGTTCTGCTTCCAGTGTCAGAAGGCAATTATGCTTCTGAATGCCAGTTGCTGGGAACTGCAAGTGGGGAGAGCAATACACAGGTCCTGCTTGCAAATTTCCCACAGGCATCTGGTTGGCCCCAGTGAGAATAGGATATGCTAGACTAGATGAACCACTGGCCTGATCCAGGAGGGATCTTCTTGTGTTCTGTCTTATTATGATAAAATAGACCCTTCTCTGATGACTGTACATGAGCTTTTATATTGCCCTCCCACTACATGCAGAACAGGGGAAATGTACAGGCTAAATACCATGTTTATTGTGGGAAGCATCTCTTAGATGCATGCTTAGAGTTTTTAAGGGGACAGAACCTCCATGTTCCAAGGCACAATGACCTTGAATGCCAGGTGCTAAAGGGTTGTTCCCTTCATGTCCTACATGTGGTCACCCCACCAGCATCTAACTGGCCATTGTTAAAATCAGAAGGCAGGAAAAGATGTAACTTTGTTCTGATCCAGCAAGGCACTCCTTACGTTCTCATGTAGCAAAAGAAGAAAAGCAGCTGCAATATTCTTTAGTTTTCCAACGCAGCCCATAGCAGACAGGCAAGCTCAAGAGCAGAGCCCATCATGCCTCTTTACTGCAAGGAATATAGCTTGTTCCATTGAGATGGTTTGCAAGCCCATTACTTGTCATCATAAAGCACAACATTAGACCAGAGCTCACCATTTTTTGTTAGGAAATGGCTTGCACAGATAACGGTTTGTAGTGCAGAGATGCTACTGTGGTTCTTGCGGGGTCATCAGTGAAAGGCAACCACACGGCTATCTATTTTTTCAAGCACTAAATGGTTTTGAATAAAATGCTGGTGCTTTTTGAAAGCAAGCAAAGAAAGCTGTCCTGTAAAATCCATAGTGTCTGACACTTTCCCCCTGCCACTGCCACTGCCAATTCCTTTTAAGAGCCATGACATAATGGAACAGCTATAGTGAAAGGGTGAGTCTGGTCATCTTTCTCCTCCTCTTGCACAGTCCTCTCAGATATTCTAAGAGTTGGCAAGTCTCCATCGTAACTCCACCCTTTGCATCGGCATATACCTCAAACAGCAGGGCGGTTTGGAAAGGTCACTGTGGACCTATGGGACTGAGCACCCCCCCCCCCGCCGTCACAGACCTCATTTTAGTTGCACAGTGGACCTATGGAGCTGTGGTAACACATACAGCCAGCATAATATCTGGGGAAAGGGTGCTGTCCCATTCCCAGCAACACAAAGCTGAACATCAAGACATGGAAACCTTGAAGATCAGATATATTATTTTCTTTTAATGGTTCGTGGATATGCTGATTTAGTCCCCAACTCATAATCATTTTCCCTTGTGGGCGAACTTCCTGACCTTTTCCTATTGTTTTTATGTAATTCAGCTGGAGCTGTAGCAATCACTCATCTTACTCTTGAACTGAGGGTGTGTGTGCTGGGTTGACTAATGTCTGCCTCCGCTGTGCTGCCCTTCAGCTCCACCCCCAGCTCTCCTGTGGGTATATGACAGTCCAAGCCCCAGTCACCTTTTTAAGCCATGCAAAGATTGCTAAAAGGCAGTACAAATAAGACTTTCACCTTTTCAATAATCTCCCCTTGTTTTGGAACTATTTCCACATGGTTGTCACTGTTGTTCCCACTGCAATCCTACACCTATTTATGGCTGGGGTGACAGATGTCATCATCCAGCAACATCTGGAGGACCAAAGGTTTTCCACCCCTGGTGCAAGCCCTGCCAAACTTCATGGAGTAAACATTCTACAAGATATGCTGTACATAAGGACAGCTTCTCAAACATAATATGTACATTACACTGAGGGATAAACTTCCCCATGTGCATCCTCTTGGAATTATTATTTTTTTGGGGGAAGGGGGGAGTTAAATATATAAACTGCCCACTGTTCTACAGCCACCCATGTGCACCATCCAGAGGAGAGCATACACACAAGTGGGAAGTAATGGTAGGGGAGATGGGTATGCCTTGGAGCAGAAACATTCTTAATGCATTTACTCTGACTAGGAAAAACTCTGTCTAGGAGAAAGGTGAGAAACGTGAGCTGAGCAGCACAGGAACTTCGGGTTGGATTACATGATCTGTCAGAAGAATTGGATGTCCAGGGATTGGATTTCGTTTCATTGCCGACCACAGGCTTTTCAGAGACACAGCCGACAATTCAGTTCCAGGGATGGGAAGAAATTCGCTTAGGTTCACATTTTAATGTGGCCCTGCCTAATTTGAATTTCCCCTAAACGATTCAGGAACCAAAACTCAACTCTCCTGCAAAATTTGCACTTCTCTGAATTTCACGGTGTTGTTTTCCAGGCCCCCCCGAAAAGTGTACAAAAAGTGTACATTAGAATAAAATGCGCATATCAGTGCATATATGTGAAAACAATAGACCAAAATGCATTATATTAGGGGAAATTGCATAAAAATGTATATTTAGGACAACATTGTATACACAAATGTGTATTAGGAGAAATTCATACTAAAATACTGATGAATTTTTGCAAGGGCTTTTGTTTAAAATTGCAAAACGGATGCAGAAATGTCCAGAACTGAACTTAAGACTGGACAAACAAGCCACCGAGAAAATCTGATATTGACAAATTCATCCATGGCTATTCATTTCGTAGGGTTGCCATATGTCCTCTTTTTCCAGGACACACCCTCTTTTTCATGGGTAGAATCATCATAGCGATCCATAGTTAAAAATAGAAGTCGAAAAATGTGTCCTCATTTTTGTTCTTCAAAATATGGCAACTCTAGCTGTGCTGAGAAAAAGCACATGGTATAACTTCCCTCTTGGGATTGGTACCATGTCAGAATACAGGTGAGGGATCGCATGATTCAATACTCACTCAAGTTTTTTTTTAAAAAAACCAAAAGTTTCTGCCATAGAAAACAAGCAAGTTAGTAAGAACAGTTTCTTAGACTTCTTACTGAGATGCCTATAGTTTGTTTGCACTTCACGGGAAGCCCAACTATGGCTTACCAGGGCTGCAGGTATGTGCCGGCTCTCAGAGGGGAGTTCTTCTCTGCCTTGCTCCTCTTCACTTATGCTAGTGCAATGCAGCATGGCAGCTAAGTCCAAGTTTGGCTTAGTGTGTCATCCAAGCCCAGGGTCATACTTAAGGTCTCTCCTCCTTAATGATGATCTGTAATCATAGGTCAAACACATAGTGGTTAAGGAGGAGTGCCCACATGAATTTTTGCATCCAGATGTAACATTTGTTACAGTTGTTCTCCTACAGAAAGCAAAGCTTATGTCTGGAACTGTGTGCAACAGCTGGTTGGAATACGTCACATGACTGAAAGCTTCTCCATACCTTCCCCCACCCCCCAATAACCCCTTTGTCCTGCACATGGAAAACTCTCATATCAAGGAAAAGTGCTCTAGGTTAATTTTTTCCTTGGACTGTTCATTACTGTGTGCAGGAATTTTTATATTTAACCAGGATTCTCCCCATCTGTAGTGACAAAAAGAAGCTAATGTCCAAGCAAAGACTTGAACCGAGGTCTTGAACACCCTAACGACTGCATGTTCCATGTAACTGTAATTAACAGGGCAGCGGCAGGGGAGAAAAGAGGGTGATGATACATAATATTTTCCCTGCCCACCATTTCTTCAGTACAGGTGACATAGCTTTCCTGCTGTTTGAACCAGACGGGAGCAGAGAAATGACAGGAGGAAAGGATTAAGTACCCCTGCCCTTTGCCATTTTTCAGTTTAAAATTCCCCACCCCAGCCAGCTTCTTTCAAAATGTTCCATACCTTTATACAAACAACATGTAGTTAATCCCTACACCAAAGAATATACAATTTCCCCGGAGGAACTGGTGTTGCTTGGCCCATTCGATCAGATGCAAATGGAAGCTTCCTGTCTTATGTGTCTTCCTGGAGACAGCTTGATCAGGAGGTAGGACTTGCCAGCAGCTTCTGCCTAGGCAAGTGTGTTCAATTATGCAGCACTAACAGCTTTGTCGTTCCAGCCTGCCCAAAATCCTGGTGGACTCAATCGTCCTCCTCTTTTTTATTATTATTGTTAACTGTTTATTGGTTTATAATATGATACACAGTCTCTGTGGTGCCTTGATGCATAATGGAGAGTGGGTGGTGGAAGAGGGAGATCTTCCTTTTCGATCATTTGTTCAAACAAAGCGGTATGTAATGGTGGACTTTTAGCCTATAACCAGATCAAAGGTTTACTGTTACAGAGAGCTGGAAAAACACAAAACCACTCCCTCAGAGCAAAGGGTAGCATCATATATACTAAAAGCAACCTCAGTGTTCCAAGCTACACGCCTTACATAGTCAAAATGGCCCCAAGGCTTCTCAGGACAAGTATTTGAGAGGGAACCATGGAAAACCCAAATAACAGGCCAGTGAAGACTGAGCCTGCTCAGCAGTGACAGAATGCTTGCTGACTGCATGGGTGGGAGTGGGGAAGACAGATGCTAAGGGGAACTGAAGGAGCATCCTGAACAGGAAGATTCCACATCGCAACTGCAATTTTATCCCAGCATTTTTTCTGTGGTGGTGTGGTCTCTGCCCCCTGTGCAGGTACTAGGGTCAATGCCATCCTTAATGCAGAAATACTGGAGGGGTCCACACAGGCTGAAAAACTTTGGCACCATATGAACTCAGAAGGCAGGGCACAGAGAAGTCATTTCTATGGCAGCTGGGAAAAGATCACTGAAATTACGCGCTACATCCACGGAGCAGTTCCCACCTGGTGAACTGCGACTCCATGGGGAGCTATGGGTGGGGGAAGCCGCGAGCAGCACTGGCCTCCATCACTCCCTCCTCTCTCCCTTGCTCCTCTTAACAGATAGCCCTTCAAGTCATCTGAAAGGGGGTAACTAAACCTCCCATGATATCCCCACCGCTTGGCTACACTGCATTCTGCAGTGAGCATTTTTCTTCCCTGCCTCCTTTCCTTTCCTCCCAATCCTTTTCCTCCTGATTGTTACTACAGCCAAGTGCACCACAGCCAAACAAACAAATCCCTAAAATGAACCAGACTTTGTGTGGAACTGGCACATGTTCATTGATCGTCCTTCCCTGCAAGGCTTCTGGGGGACTGAGACGTGTGAGGCTTGGTTGTGGGGGGAGGGGGCTGAGCAGAGAGGAAGACGGTAGGAGGAGCCTTTTCCTGCTGCCTGATTCCTGCCCACCCCCAACCTCTATCTCTTTCTACCTGCTGGAAAAAGAAGGAGGCTCTTTTGTTCGGTTTGGGAGATTATAAAAGATAGCGTGGGTGGGTTGAAGGGGGAAATTGAGAGGAAAGCAGAGTGAGGGTTGCAAATAAAAAGAGGGTGAAAGGGGCATCCAGTATTTTTTTGTGGGAAGTGAGAAAAAAATGGGCATTTAGTGGGGGACCTGTTGGGGTTGGGGGCTTCCTTAAGTGGAGTGAGTGGAGATGGAGGGTTGAGAGGGAGAGACGTTCTCCCCTGGTTGTGGTTTAATTGTTCTTCCTTCGGGCCTTAGACTGGTTTCTGCCTGCCCCAATCCAAATAAATACTAATTTATCTCCACTTTCCCTGCTTCTGTATCATCATCTATCTGCCTAGTCACCTGCATTTCCCTAAGGATGAGGAGTTGACCACTTAGTGGGGGGAAGAGCTCTAAAGTGTTTCAAGGTGCACTTTGTATTTTCTTTTTGTTTGTTTTTTTCATATTATTGATTATTTTTCATATTATTGATTTATTATTATTATTAAAATTTAATTTTGTTTTAATCAATTTTGTTTTAATTTTCCCCAAACGTACAAAAACTGCTAAATGCCAAAACAACACAGTTTCTACCAAGTATCCCACAAGAGAGTCACATAAATAATGTAGTTGGTCAAGGGAGCCATGGACTCAAAAAGTTTAAAAACCATTGCATTCAGTTCTCTACATGAATGTAGAACCTATTGGATGGGGACAATAGTAACAAAGCCCATAGTCCTTATATTAACAAGCCAGGTCCGGCAGTTCTAGCTGCTTGAAAAGCTAGCCCACCTGCTGGGCAACTGGGATTTTTGTCCCAAGTACCTGCTTGGTGCTTTTTGCTGCCTGCTGCAAAGTTGTCCTTGAGTGATCCCTAGATCTGATCTTTGCCCTAGATAGGGATTGCAAAGCCAGCAGAGAAAAGAGAACAGGCCCGACAGCCTCGTGCATAAAGTTACTCTTGGCTGCCAAGGAACATTGTTTTCACGTTCAAAGAAATGTTGCTGCAATTTGGTCTGTTGTGGGGTTGTTTTGCCACTTTGAAACGTCACAGGAACTCAGAGTGACCAAACTGAGGTTGGCTTAGAAGTGCTTGCCTCAGATCCACAATCCAAAGTTCAAGTCTACAAACTGACCTGAATTAAAAGCAAATGCCAAATGTGGGACTTGTTTCATTGGATTGAATTCGAGTCTGGTTATACTTTTCCTGTTTTCAACAATTTGCCTTAGGGTTCATAATCCCAAATTCTGATTGCATCACAGGCGCAACATCATGGGAGGAGGTGCCCCACCTCTGGCCTCTTGCAAGTTGCTGCAGGAGAGGGGCTGTGAGCAACACCATGAGAGGAGTGAAACTGTCAAGCTCCCTCATTATCTCTGCTATTGCCAAGAAGTGTAATGTTATTCATGTACTCTTGTTATATCTACAGTACTGAAACATTATTGTTTTTGTATGTTATTATATTTGCTATTACTACATTGTTGTTTTATGTTATTATGAAATGGTTCTTGCAGTGGTTGATTGTAAGCATGATTCTTTTAGTGGAAAGGCAGCATACAAATGACACAGCAATGAAGGTGATGGTTGCCCACCTAAGGAGCTCAGCCAGTTCAGTGGATAAAATGGCAGGAAGCCTAGAGAAGAGGCGACTGCTTCCTCTCTGGCTCTCTCTGTGTGTGATTTGGGCTGAGCCATATTCTCTCACTATGGGCCCCTCCTTCCCTGCCAATACTTAAAGCCGCCTGACCATTGGCCATGGTGGCTAGGGCTAGTGGGAGATGGAATCCAGCTACATTTGGAGGGGGCATGGATTCCTACCCCTAGTTTAGGGTTTTCCTGTCCCACTGGCTCCAGTCAATGCCAATCACAAAATGCTAAGTCTCATTATACCACCCCATGTCTGGAACTAGATGTAAGATTCATGAAGCTTCCCAAAGCTCTTATCTGGTCAAAATGTGAAACCACCACAACAACACTGTTAGAGGCAAGGTTCATCGCTTCCCTAGCAGTTGCCTAAGAATGAAAGGTAAAAGGCACTCACTGCTGCTTTGTTCTTCATTCCCTTAGTCCAGAGATGTAGACTTGTGCTCTACCTCCAGATGTTGTTGGACTCCTGCTCCTGTCATCCCTGACCATTAGCCATCCTGGCAGGGGTTGGTAGGAGTGTGGTATAAATTCCTAAATAGATCAATTAGATTGCTGCCAGAATGAAATAGCCTGTGTTTGTTTCAGTTTTGGGGTACCCCCTGAGTAAGATGCCACTGGTAGGTTTACCTCTACTTTACTGCCACCACTGCTGCACTCACCATTCATTTGTGTCTACCTCTAGTTCCAGTCTCCATCAGAGGTTAAGGGTAAGGCATGCAGAGGTTACTTCTGTTTCTCCTTGCTCCTCTCTTTGCTTATTCACTAAGATAAAACAGAATAAGCGCCTCCTCTGTTGGCCACGTGGTTTCTGACCCTATTTGAAGAGGGAGACAAATTGAACCACTGGGAATTAATCCCTATTATAAGTGAGGAGTCCTTAATGAAAGAGGCATATGCGGCCTGTATGTGCTCAGTCTGACTATTGAGGGTTTGGAGAAGCCAATTTGAAGAATGTCAGGGTTGTTGTTTTTTAATTGGCTTAGCATAATGTTAGAATAGTGTCTCCTCTTGTAGCATAACTATTCAACCATGAAATCAATATCCTTCATGGACACATTATATGGAAATGCGCTACTTAAAGAAAGGTTCTGTGAGATGATTGCTGCATGATGTATTATTCCGACCAGTGTGCCCATGAATAAGGGCCTAGCTAGACATCACAGGGGATGTGATGTGACATCATCAAGTTCAAGTTTCCTCTACACCTTCAAGCAGCAGTCAATGAACTGCCGTGGACGCAGAACCTCTGAAAGCAAGGATCTCACATCAATCATTTATTTTACTAAAGGTTATTGGCCTGATGTATGGGAGAGATGCAGGTTTGTCGAAGCCACACAACAGCCACTTACAGGCAAGTTGATCAACCTTCCATTGAGTTTCAGTGATTTCATATATTGACCAAATACAATGTATGGCTTTATGAATTTACCCACTTCCTTTCCCAATCCATTGAAATCACTAGCAGGTTCTTTCCAGCTAAAACTGATAAAGCTGGTAGAAGAGACAAAGCTAGAAACAAAATGGAAGATCTGATGTAATGCAGAAAAGACTTATCCTGCTACCTACTCCACTGTGAGGTGATGCTACAAGGTGACTATCCTCAGTCTAGAACAGCTTTCCAACCTGGTGCTCTCCAGGGGAAGGGCCATATCTCAGTGGTAGAGCATCAGCTTTGCATGCAGGAAGTTCCAGGTTCAATCCCTGGCTTCTCCTGGTATTGAAGAGACTTCTGTCTGAAAATCCTGGAGTGCCACTGCCAGTCAGTATAGACAATACTGGGCTAAATGGACCAATGGCCCAGCTTCTTATAATAAGAAGGTAGCTTCTTATTCTCCTGGATGTTTTGAACTGCAACTCTCATCAACCCCAATCAGCATGTCCAATGGCCTGGGTGCTGTGAGATAGGCTGGGGAAGGCTGGCCTAGAGAACTTGTACTCAGCACAGTTCACCCTCAGCTATAGAGCCAACAGTGAGAAATGCAAAGCCACGCTCATGAGCAAAAAGCCACATGGATGATGTTCTGCTACAGATTGTTAAACAGCTGTGTGTATGGGACATGCTCCTAGTGCCTGCCTAGTGCTACCAGAACAAGCAAAGAAGGCACAATCGGGCCAAGTATACCTGCGTAGAAGTGAATGATCCACTGGGATAGTGACGCTTTAGCCTTGTCGGCCTCCTGGCAGCGGTTTTAAAGCAGCCCAGGAGACACAAGTGATTGACCTGTTCGTCTGGCAGTCCCTGACAGTAGAAAGGATGTTGGAAGCAGCTGGCTCACCACAGGGGAGGAGATGGGGAGCAACTCTAATGACAGCATGTCTCCGAGAAGGTAGCAGAGCATGAAACCAATTTCACACTTTATTAGCCAATTCAGGTGCCAATTGCTCAAATCCTGAAACAATAATATCCTCTCACCACCCCACATATTTCCTCATTCTGGCCAGCCTCTTAAGGATACTTATTCAGCTTCCCTTTTCACAGCACCTCTGGGCAAGTTCATGCAAATTATACTGAACTTTGAATGGGGGAGCCAACACATGGCCATGCGGCTCATGCTCAGGAACCAGTGACCCATCCTAGTACAGAGATCTCAAAAAAGGTCTCAAAAGTCAAGAGAGCAAAAGGACAAGAAATTTACAGTGACTTGAATATATTTCCACCAACTCAAAGCACTCAAGGAGCAAAGCAGAGCCAGTGAGAGGTGTGGCTTGGAGGGGAGAGTCCCATTGGAGGACCACACTTCGCCCCTGGGCCTGAGATATCCCACTCCCTACTTTAAAGCAAATATGCATAGGATTGCAGTTTGAGGGTCGTTGCATGGAAGCAATTATTCCTTCCAACCTGAGAAGGTGAATGAAGTCGCAAGTACTTCACCTTGTACAAGGTGTGCTCTGATGGGTTCTAAGAATGTGCTCTCTATCCTTGAATTTTTCTGAGACTTTTATTTAGGAACTGAATCAAAGAGGCATAAGAAGATAATCATTATATCAGCCTTTTCCCTTCCCTAGACAATTCTGCAAGCTGAACCTTCTTCAAATCCAACCGCTGTACAAATAGGAGCAGACCGATCAATGAAATGAAGAGAAGCCCATTTGCTCAGCACAATGATATTTAATTTTTGAAGTCACGTCTGTTTACATATGCTAACAGAAGAATCTCTGCTCCCTGTGGCTCCTCAAAGAGGACAATTTCACAGCTGATATTCAGTAATGGAGACAGTGTAGGATAGAATTCTTTCTTCATCCCTCTTCATATATCTTGAATCTTCTGCACTGAAAGCAAGAGACAGGAAGGACTTTTGTGTAGGGGTGTCCTGTTTTGTTTACCCAGTATAGGCACCAGGGAAGTAGACAAGGAAACTGGGACAGCAAGGAAGGTGAAAAGAAAGATACTGAGAAGGAAGATGAAGGAACTATAGGGAGGAAGGAGGGAAGGAGATTCCCAGGCCTCGATGAGCAGAACAGAGAACAGAGAAAGGGAAGAGAGCAGAACAGAGAAAGGAGAGAAGAAATGGAGGACCTGGGGCTGTTAGGCCCAGTGGCAAGCCAGGAAGGCAGCAAGGAGAAGGAAGGTAGTCAGGACAAAGGGAAACTGTATATTAAGACAGAGGGATCCTGTGATGAAATGGGGACCAAACTCTGAGCAAGGTTTCCATTGGGTTGGGGAGGGATCACTAATGATATGAGACCATATGGAGTTCTGAGGATCCTTGGGATCTTGGTGTCATTGCAAATTTGATGAGCACCCCCTCAATTCCTTCATCCAAGTCATTTATAAAGACGTTGAACAACAAGGGGCCCAGGACAGAACCCTGCGGCACCCCACTTGTCACTTTTTTCCAGGATGACGAGGAACCTTTAATGAGTACTCTTTGGGTTCGGTCAGTCAACCAGCTATAAATCCACCTACGTCGTTCAACCACAAATCTAAAGTGCTCTAAAGGGGGAAAGGAAGGGGCAAGACAGGAATGCTATCTGTGGTTATCTGCAGACCTTTGATGCTATTTTGTTACCAGAAACATGGTTCAGGGATGCACAGGATTGCTCTGTAAAACTGAATGCCCATTCCCCATTTCACAGAGGTAGACCTAAGGCTGGGTTGGCCTCCATGCTGTAGCCTTGAGCCTGCCAAATTATGGATCCATAGCAATAGTGATGTTGCTTAGATTTACCGTAAATCATGTCAGTGTTTAGTGATCTGTGCTTATTTCTCCCTGGAATGATTAAGGGTCAAGCAAAGAAGTAGTATGTGGGAGAAACACCAGTTTGCCCATATTCTTGTGATATGAGAATTGGGCCAAGTACTCAATAAAAGTTAACACTATGTGTTCCATGGACTGATTGACAGTTCTGCCAGCATATAGAGCAGCCTCTAATTTTTCATTTGTTAGAAACCTTAAAGTGATGGACCTTTCTGCTCTTTCCCTTTGATCTTCTTTCCTTTCAGGAGGCTTATCCCTGCAGTCCTCGTGGCTTTGCCTTACTTCTTCTATGTAGGTTGCATTTACAGAAAGCTGTTTCTGCACTTTTAACGCTGTGTGTAATTTGAGGAACGTTCCTAGTTCTGCCATGATTGTACATCCAGCACTACTTGAGTGTCCCCCGCAGTGCTTTTCTGCTCACGAGCTCGTGTAGATGGTCCCCCAGTAGGGACCAATTAGTCCTATCCACACAGACAGAAATTCATCGCTCGCACATCTCTTTGTCTATAATTGCATGACCCTGGAGGGAAAAGCCACGTGTGTGTGTGTGTGTGTGTGTGTGTGGTAGCTTTCTAGACGTCAATGCAGTTGGGGGGGAGAGCAAGGGGGGAGGAGGAAGACTAATCGCTTCTGCAAAGAACTGAAGCATGTGAAGAGCACAGAGAGAGGGAGTCAGGACAGATATAGAGCCAACGTGAATATAGAGCCTGGTCTTAGCACACCGTCAGCATGAAATAACTATTGCTGTAGTTAAATTTCGGCATTAAAGGGTACTTGAGAATTCATCTGTAGGAAGTTAACTCCCAAATGGGATCCAGTGATAAATTGGCTGCTGCATATGAAATGACTGGAAAGGGGCTGGGCGGAGGCGGGGGGGGGAGCACATTTGGAGTCATTCTTTTTTAAGGGGAAATAGACTTCCAGAACGTTATCAGCCAAATGTCCCGATTTGAAACAATGTGCTGTGAAGCTCAAGTGGTTCATCAATATGCATTTGATCAAATTCCACCTAAGGGCCACAGTGAGATGTGCTTACACCCGTTGAAGTCATGGAATTAGGTGCACTTAACTCTGTGTTTTGTTTTAGGGTGTAAAGCTGCAACCCTGCACAAGCTTACCCAGGGTTACCCACTGAACTCAGTTGGGACTTCTGATTATGCCTCTCCAGGATTGTCTTGGACATGTAGCTTCTTGGTGGAGTTTCTGTGAGTTCCACTATCTTGCATGGCATAGTGGATCTCAGTGTGCCATACTGATAGGAAACTTGAGATGTGTCTGTCTTTGTAGGCTGTACGTCTTAATGTGTGTTTTGCCTGCAAAAGTGTCTGTGACTTCGGTACATACGCCAAAGATTACCCATAAACACACATCTGTCAAGCCTCAGAGAAGTACTGTCTGGCAGGAACAGTCATGCCAACCCAGCCTGGACAGTGTTACCTGCTCTGCTCTCGGATCTGATCTGCAGGCGGCGGGGGAGGGGCAGAGTTTTCTAGGACGACAGGTGGAGTTTGCATAAACAGAACTATGTAACTGCCTTAAATAAGAACAATAACTTGCCTGAGCTTGCTTTGTCCCTCCCCATCCCCTTTTCCTTGTACCTTTTGCATTGTATGCCTGAGGGCTGGGACTGTAATGCTGTTATATTTTGTAAACCGTTTTCTGCCTGAAGGGTGAGATACGTACGCTTTAAACAAACACATCCATCATTCCCTTTCTCCAAGGAACTGAAAGCAGCATAGATGGGGTGTTCCGCATCTGATCCATACAACAACCCTGTGAGGTAGCAGAAACAATTAACTAAGAGCTAATGATTGACTCAGGCTTACCTAGGATGCTTCAAGGCTGAGCAAGGACCAGTCCCCCTGGCACAATGGAATAAAGAGTGAGTGCGAAGAAGTGGAGCAAGAGAGGGAGGTGGACTGGTGGGTGGAGTCAGAGTGAGTGACAGGTGGGGAATGTCAGCTGAGAAGGCGAGCTACAGGAGTCAATTGAAAAGGACCAGGTGCAAAGGCTGGCAGTAGTGAAGATAGCTAGTGGAAAGGGGAATCAGATATGGTGGGCTAGTGTATTAAGTGGAAACATTGCTTCTCTAGTCTTTCTTGAATGAGTGCACGTCCTGGGTGTCATGTTCCTTGAGTAAAGACAGTAGATGGTTCAAATACTTGATGGATTCAAGTCAGGATGCATTTCTGGATAATAAATCTCACCCCACATTGTTGCTTTTACCCTACTGCTTTGCCACTCAGCAGATAAGGCAGCAGTTTGCCTTGGACAAGTTTCTTGTGAGTCTGGATGCAGCAGGCAGCCTGGACTGCTAGGCAAGCAGTTGATTTGGTGTTGCGTGTGACCTCTAGGTGCCAGGGCCTTGAATGGGACCCGAAGGGTGATGGCCCTGGATAGAAGGGTGCCATATGGAGGGAATTTGGAGCACTTGGATCAAGTACTGGTAACACCAGCCTTCCAAGTTTTTTAATGCACTATTCCTCAGGAAGGTGAAAATGGAATAAATACCTT